GGAACTACCAAAACTGAGATTAGTTAAAAGTGTGTGAGGGCCCAAAATTTGCGGTATGAGAGGTAGCCTAAAAAAAAGAAAAAGCAAGACTGACGAGACAAAGGTAGAAGACCAATTTGAGGCGTGCTAAAGATAAGGAACGAACAAGCGAAAACGGATAACATTTAACTTTAAAAATGAAAAACTCTCGATTACATTGGGAACTTTGATCAAACAGTTGGTGGGCAAGGGAGTGCACATTCCTTAATAGGTTATACAACAATTATAAGCAATGGAAGCAGACGCAGTAACACAAAGTTTGAATTGAAAAGGAAAACCTAGAAACATACCTGAGGGCTCAGAGAAATCAGATCCAAGTAAGAGACTTCAACAAAACACAACACAAGCTCCCGTTATGAAACTAGTAGTTACATTACTACTCCCTTCTTTTAATTATTTGTTTTTATATTCAAATGGGTGATTTTGTCCGCATAAACAAATCAAATATAATAATAATAAGAATTATTTTTAGGGAATTGATCATAATAAAATAAACATTATATATAATACAAAAAATAATAATAAATACTCTTATATTTGGTTTTCTTTACTTAAATAAAAATAGTTTTTTTTTGTTTATAACATATTAAATTAAATATATTTAGTTACTAAAAGCTTTGTTTTATAGAAAACAATTACCAAGAGAGGGATGAATTCGAGTAGATTTGAAAATAAATTTAATATTATTTTTTTAATAAATTTGAAAGTAATTAAAATTAAATTTAGAAATAAAGTTTGTGAAAGTTGATTTAGAATTTAATCTTGTGGTCAGATAAAAAATAAAAAATGTTTACAGTAAAAAGAATATAAAATTATATTTATTAATAATATATTTATTGGTAAAAAATATTTTAAAAAGGAAATAAATCAAAATTAATTTTAAAAATAAAATAAATTTGTATTTAAATAAAGTAAAATAATTATGTTTAAAATTTATTTTTAAAAAAATATAATTTACCAGCAAGCAAAACACAAATTATATTATAGAATGAGATACTCATCCCTGTAATCAAGTTCGGACATTGCAATGCAATGGGTCGGAATCGGATACATGGCTAGTAGAAGTGAATACAAGTCACTTTGAAATCGGGTAAGAGAATGTGACAAACATATAATTAAATTTAAAATTAGAAAATAGATTGATACTTAAAAAAACATTAGTCTATTTAATTTCTAACATAATATACATTATTAAAGTAAGTTTTCTGCTATCCCAAGCTATATTGCACCATTCCCATGATTCCTCGTTCGATTTCAACAATTACGTTTTGTTCTTTTGAGGTGATTTGGGATAGATGATTTGAATGGATTTGAGGATAAAATTTTGTTGTTTTTTTGAGTGGATTTGTGGATAATTGAGAATAGATTTGGAAGTAAAGTTTGTGAGAATTAGTGTAGGATTTGATTGATGAGACAAATTTAAAAAATTTGTTTAATTGGTATAAATTAAAGATTATCAAAATGTTCCTTGTTATTATTAAAGTAATATAAAATGTTATTTGTTAATGTTATATTTTATTGTAAAAATGTTTATAAAGAGTAAAAATTAAAAATAATAATTATTAAAAAGTAAAAAAATATTATTTAGTAAAATGAATTTATTTTGAAATGTAGTTTTTATTTATAATAAAATTTTCTATGAATTTATTTGTTATCGACGTAAAATTAATTCATTTTGAAGAAGGTTACTACCAACACACAATCCACACATCAATTATTATTCAGGCCAAGTTTGTATCTGTCCTATATAAGCAAGGAAAATAAGAAAGTAAAATTCATTGGATTCTTTGTAATTCAACTATAATAAAAGAGTGTTCTCTCATTCAACTTCTCCAAAATTAATGTGTTTTGACTTACGTAAAGCCTAATCCATTTTACATTCTTATTTTCTTCTCTTAAAAACAGCAATTTAACTTTAACNGTAGTTACATTACTACTCCCTTCTTTTAATTATTTGTTTTTATATTCAAATGGGTGATTTTGTCCGCATAAACAAATCAAATATAATAATAATAAGAATAATTTTTAGGGAATTGATCATAATAAAATAAACATCATATATAATACAAAAAATAATAATAAATACTCTTATATTTGGTTTTCTTTACTTAAATAAAAATAGATTTTTTGTTTATAACATATTAAATATATTTCGTTACTAAAAGCTTTGTTTTATAGAAAACAATTATCAAGGAAAGGGATGAATTCAAGTAGATTTGAAAATAAATTTAATATTATTTTTTTAATAAATTTGAAAGTAATTAAAATTGAATTTAGAAATAAAATTTGTGAAAATTGATTTACGATTTAATTATTGAGATGAGATAAAAAATATTTATAGTAAAAGTAATATAAAATTATATTTATTAATAATATATTTATTGGTAAAAAACATTTTAAAAAGGAAATAAATAAAAATTAATTTTAAAAATAAAATAAATTTGTATTTAAATAAAGTAAAATAATTATGTTTAAAATTTATTTAAAAAAATTATAATTTACCAGCAAGCAAAACACAAATTATATTATAGATGAGATACTCATTCCTGTAATCGATTCCGGACATTGCAATGCAATGGGTGGGAATCGGATACATGGCTAGTAGAAGTGAATACAAGTCACTTTGAAATCCGGTAAGAGAATGTGACAAACATATAATTAAATATAAAATTAGAAAATAGATTGATACTTAAAACAACATTAGTCTGTTTAATTTCCAACATTATATACATCATTAAAGTAAGTTTTCTGCTATCCCAAGCTATATTGCACCATTCCCATGATTCCTCCTATGATTTCAACAATTACGCTTTGTTCTTTTGAGGTGATTTGGGGGAGATGATTTAAATGGATTTGAGTGGATTTAAGGGTAAAACTTTTGTTGTTTTTTTGAGTGGATTTGTGGATAATTGAGAGTAAATTTGGAAGTAAAGTTTGTGAGAATTAGTGTAGGATTTGATTGATGGGACAAATTTAAAAAATTTGTTTAATTGGTATAAATTAAAGATTACCAAAATGCCCCTTGTTGTTATTAAAGTAATATAAAATGTTATTTGTTAATGTTATATTTAATTGTAAAAATGTTTATAAAGAAAGAATAAAAAATTAAAAATAATAATTAAAATTAATTTTTAAAAAGTAAAAAAAAATATGATTTAGTAAAATGAATTTATTTTGAAATGTAATTTTTATTTATAATAAAATTTTCTATCTATGAATTTATTTGTTATGAAAGTAAAATTGATTAATTTTGAAGAAGGTTATACTACCAACACACAATCCACAAAATCAATTATTATTCAGGCCAGGTTTGTATTTGTCCTATATAAAGGAAAATAAGAAAGTAAAATTCATTGGATTCTTTGTAATTCAACTATAATAAAAGAGTGCTCTCTCATCCAACTTCTCCAAAATTAATGTGTTTTGACTTAAGTAAAGCCTAATCCATTTTACATTCTTATTTTCTTCTCTTAAAAACAGCAATTTAACTTTAACAACAGAGTGTTCTGGTTCCTCAACTTGGAGCCAAGCTCAGGCTCCATCAAAGCATCTAATCCACCTTTATCAATAATCACAATGAAGCTCTCGTCCTCAAACTGCACCATCCAAAACAAAAGAATCGGTAAGAAAAAAGAAAGTCAAATAGAGCAGCAAAACCAAAAGAGCGGGCGGGGGAGAGACTTGCATGGCGGTGATGTCCATGACGCGCCAACGCATGAGCGGGCGGTCGCGGACGTTGCGGCGAAGCATGTCGGAGATAACGACCTTGGAGAAGTCGAAATTCGTGATGGCAGTGTGGCCGGCGTCGTAGAGGAGCGGTGACCTGTCGCCAATGGTACGAAGCACCTGTCACCAATGGTTATGTTCACCAGAGAGGAGCAGTGACCCCAACCCTACGTGTGGACTCCGAAGAGGGCGACAATCATAGAGTTGTATTTGAATTGTTCATAAAGTATATATTAGCATTACCATGTGTTTTAAGTTAATGATAATATTTATTTACAAAGTAAAATTAGTTTACTATTTAAATGGTACACTTTTCATAAATAAATAGGTGACAAAATTTACTGGATTAAAATAATTGCTTATAATTAATTTTTAGTGTCTGCAGAAATATTTTATTACATACTTGTATTCATAATGTTCTATATTTGTGTTCCTCGCATAAACTTTAGTCTTTATAGAAAAAATGATTTTACATTTCAAAAAGTATTCTTTATAATTGTTTCTCTAACATTTAAAAATCTCCAGATAAATAATATCTGGCTATTTTGAAATAATATGAGATGTGTCAGGTTAATATATTATACCTTAAATTGATATTATAATCAGTGCCTGCTTTTCCTTTCCTCAAACTAAGTTTTGCATGCATATTTTTTTTTTGACATTAAACTCTTTTACTATTAAGTTTTATATTTTAAATAGTAAACTATAAGAAAATAATTAAACAATAATCAATTTTAACATAAAAAAATATTTTGCTTTAATTTTTGTGACTTAAAAGTCTTTTATTGAATGAAAATGATTAAAATAAGTAATATATACTCACAAGTTACTTAAAGATTTTAAATTAAAAATGTATGTCTATATATGGGTTGACATGTCAAATTTACATCTCATCTCTCTATCAAAATATTAGTTTGAATATAAATCATGATGAAAGGATAGATTTTTGTGTTAGTCAAAATGCTAAAATTGAAAAAAGANGACAGATTATTATTTACACGAATGATAAAAAATAATATTAATAATCTTACTATTATTAATAATCTTTCTATTTTGTATTTTATTATTATTGATAATTAATAATAATATTGTTATTATTTTCTCTGTCTGTCAACAACTCACCTTTGTTTTCTCGTGCCTAAAATAACGGTTTCACACGTTCTACGCACGAACACATGCATAATAAAAACATGCATTCCCTCATTCCACATGCAAAACCCTAATTAACATTAACCTATTCCAATCATTCGATCAATCCATCCATAGAGAGACATGAAGAAAGCTCTCTTCAAGCCAAAGCCCAAAACGCCGGTGGAGCTGGTGCGCCATGCCAGAGAACTCATCATCTTCGTCGAATCCAAAACATGCACGCGTGAAAGTAAACGCGAAGAGAAGGTAATCGCTATTTCTTTCTTTGTTTAATTCATTTATGTCTTCCTTTCTAAATTCGTGCCTTCGTTGTCCGTTCATATTCCACCGTCTTGATTTGATTGAGTTTCTCATCGTTGCCAAAAATTACAGACATTGTGACGAAAATGATGATGTGTTTTTTAAATATGTATTTAAAATGAGTTGCAGCTATCAGAGCTAAGCAAAACGATACTGGAGATAAGGACGGCTTTGTATGGAAACGGTGAATCAGAGCCAAATCCCGACGCGTGTACTCAGATCACACGCGAGTTTTTCAGAGATGATACGTTTCGGATTTTCATCCTCTATCTGGCAAAACTAAAACTCGGGGTAACCATTCTTACCAGCGTATATAATTTATTTTTTATTTCTATTTTTTTACCAAATTTATAAGAATTAATTTATACAGGCTCGCCAAGATGCAACGCATGTAATTGCAAACTTGCAACGGCAACGAGTTAATTCGCAACTAATTGCTTCTCGGTATCTACAAGAAAACTTGGATCTTGTGGATATGCTCATTTGCGGGTACAATTTCTTGTATTTGCACGTTGAATTTTTCTGTGTTTATTTCTTGGTTTTTGCGCGTTGGATAAATGTTCAATTAACAAAACTTGATTTGATTAGTTATGACAAAGAGGGTGACGTTGCTTTGACGTATGGCGCGGTTGCAAGGGAGTGCATACGCCACCAGACTGTAGCGAAGTACGAATTTCAAATATATATCTTAATTAATTTCATATAAGATCGTAATATTATTCATTGATGTTATAATAGGTATCGTACTTAGTTGTTATATATTCCCGGATTTTAAAAATATATACGGAAGTATTACCTTGAAATTTTACTTTCTTTTTATTTGTGTTTTTCAGACATGTGTTGGAATCAGATAACATGAAGAAGTTCTTTGAGTACATTCAACTACCAAATTTTGAGATAGCATCCGATGCTGTTTCAACTTTTAAAGTACGTTTATGATACGATATTTTCAAATTTTCCTTCCCACATTTTACCATGATTTTTTAACTAATAAAATTGTTTATGGTTCTATTTATTTTTCTGCTAAACGAATTTTTCATATTTCATACAATTCTTTTTGTAAATTTTGGATAAAAATTCACTTGCAAATTTTTTCTTAAATTTTCAAAATTTCAGGAAACATTTACAGAAAAACAAGGTTGTAAAACATAAAAGATTCGGATAATGTTCCATGTTTATGATACGACAGTAGAAAATGGAAACTACAATTAGATATAATCATTTAACAACTTACATAATAACNCAAAATATTAGTTTGAATATAAATCATGATGAAAGGATAGATTTTTGTGTTAGTCAAAATGCTAAAATTGAAAAAAGAAATTAAAAAGAATCTAAATACGCAAATGATCACGAAACCTAGCCAAAGTTAAAAAATCAAATGTGACCATTTTTAACTATTAGAATAAAATTGAGGCACTAATTTCCATATGCTAAACATTTATACCTTCTTATATTGGCTTGGTCTGGAGTGAAATGTTTCACAAATTTGGTGGCTTTCTTAATTTGTTTTACTTTATTTTTAGCGTACTCTGAAAATATTAGCAAATGTATCAAATTCTGAAAATATAATAAAGCCTACAAAACTCTAACAAAACTTACGTAGTGATTGTGATTAGTTTGTTTTAAATAAATTTAAAAAATAAATTTAAACTGGCGAATAAAACATTAATATCTACTATTATTAAAAATATTGTTATACAAAAGTTGTTAACATATAAAAGTGTTATTACGTGGTTTTATTTGAAGTCTTCGAATGACTTTCAAGATTCTGATTAAGATTTGGTTAAGCAGTATTACTTTTTCTTTCACATCCTTATTATCATTTTTCTTTCACATTCTTAGTTGTTCTATACAAATATTGTAATTTGATAATAATATTGAGAGATTATTAAGAGGATTAGACGAGACTTAATTTCAGTTACTCGTATTTAAAATGTTTAGAATGAGTTTTTATTTTCAAAATTTTGAGTCAAATAAGTTTTTTTGTTAAATATAACTCAACAGAATTAATAGAGCGATCTCCGCCATTTCATTTCTGGTTGCATCTTCTGATGAAGTTTTTGGCATGTAGCCCTGACCCTGTGCTGCACATTCTCTTTTTTTTTTTTTTTTTTTTCTTTTCCTTCTCCTCTTAATACAAGACTCACACATTTTCCATATAGCAATACCTACCAAATTGGCACCTATCTTCACCCATAATTTGGAAGGAATAAAAAGAAAATAGATAATACCGTAAAATATGGATATTCTATATTTATATATATTGATAAGATTCTATTAATAAATGTATAACCGATCAAATGGATATTCTAAGATTTACATATATATTGAGAGTTGATGTTATAATTGGAAATAAAAAAGTTTTTTAATAAAAAAACAATATTATTGGTTATATATTACTTTTTATTTTCTGATCTCATTCATAAAAATTATTTTCTTTTATATTCAAATATTCAAAGAATAATTGATAAATGAATAGTTAACTCTAACATTTTTTTTCAATTTTTGAATAGGAAAGGGGAGTATTATCAAAAACTTTATATGTATAAAATAAATACATTTAAAAACACGCTCTTAACACCGTTTTTTTAAAACGTGGTGTAATTCACAATACAGAGCGACATAATAAATTTTAAGTAATTGATAATAATAAAAAAAAACATTATATATAATAAAATAATAACAATAAATACTTTTATATTTTGTTATCTTTACCTAATAAAAGTAATTTTGTTGATAACCTATTAAATATATTTCATTATTAAAGCTCTCCTTATAAAAACAAGTATCATGCAAAGTGAATGGAATACCAATAAGAACATACACAAGTTATGATATAAATTATGAAATTAACATGATCACAACCTTTGACCTAAAATTATCAAAAATAAAATAAAAAACAATAGTTACATCTAATTAACCAAAATGCAAAACCGTAAAGCTAATTTTTAAAGTTAAATAAATCTACAAAGTGGAAAAATCTAATATTAGAATAGTGTGCTGCAAACATTAGTTCATTTCATATAAACAAAAATATATCTCATTCTTCTTACCTAGTCATATATGTACAATGAATTTTAAGCCACATATCAAATAATAATTATTTAATTCATATAAACAAATTATTTTTAGAAGAATTATTAAATATATCATAAAAAAGACTAACATTTAATTCATAATAAACTAACAATATTAATTCATATTCATAATTTTTTTAGTCTATTAAATTAATTATAATATGTGCAAGAAATACTTGTTATTTTAGGTTTTTCAAAATTTTGAGTTGTTATGGTTTATAATTGATATTTTTGTACCCCGCACACACTCTAGATGCATATAAGGAATCCTTTAAACTTTTTATCATTTAAATATTTAGTTTTTGTGACTTCAAATAATATTTATTATATTTTATGAGGAATTCAAATATAAAGTCAAAAGTGTTTTATTGAGTGAAAATGACTAGAAAAAGTAATATATACTCACAAATCACTTAAAAAATTTTAAATCAAAAATGTATATCTGTATATGAGTTCACATGTCAAATTTACATCTCGTATCTCTATCAAAATCCGAGTTTGAATATAAATCACTAGAAATGGAGATTTTTGTGTAGGAGAATGTTACAATTGAAAAAAATAAATTAAAAGGAATCCAAATAGCACGAAACCTAAAGTTAAAAAATCAGAAGGTTATAACTCTTCATGTAACTTCATCAATCTGAAAACAATCTCTTATACTCTTAAATTTTAACAAATCATTTGAATACAATCGAGACACTAATTTAAATATGCTAAAAAGAATAGTAATATCAACAATTTGATTCAAATTCTATTGTCAATCAATCTCAAAACAATCATTAGATTATTAACTCAATATATATATATAGATATATATCTATATATATATATTAATATATTTAATATATATATATATATCTATATTAGTTTATTAATTGTAGCAGTACTAAAAGAACTTTAAATTAATTAAATTTTAGTGACAAAAAATAGTAGTTATGATTCAATTTAAATACTAATTTTACAAAATAATAATTGTAAAATGGTTTTTCTAAAATAAAGAAAGATTTTAATTAATGATTTAAATTGATAAACTAATATTAGTGACTAAAATTTGATTGTAAAAAAGAATTATTCTTTAAATTAGTCAAATTTTTTTAGTAGACAAAAACTTGAAAGACAATGTTAATGACTAATTGAAAGATCAATTTATGTAGTTATAAATTTAGAAATTACTTTAGTTATAAATGATTTTAATATAAATTGAAAATGAATGAATTTGATCACTACAATAACTAATTATTTTTTGTGTTAAAATTGATTATTATTTAACTATTTTATTGTAGTTTACTATTTAAAATATAAACTTAATAAAAGAGTTGAATGTTATAGGAGTGAAAAAAGATAAAAAGAAAAAGAAAAATAAACATGCATGCAAAAACCGAGTTTTGATATGGTTCGGTTCACTAAAAATCGAGTCATAATGTACGAGTTAAAAACATTATTTTTTACTAGTCTACATTGATTAAAAGATCAATTTAAGGTATGATATATTAACATGACAATCTAGTATTATTTTAAAATAGCGGTAGAGAATTTTAAATCTTAGAGACAAGTATAAAGAATACTTTTTAAACTGTAAAATCATTTTTTCTATAAAGATTAAAATTAATTAGATAAAAAGGTTATCAACAGATCGAAAAAATTAGTTATTGTAGATAATATCAAAAAAAAAAAAAAAAAAAAAAAAATATTATAATATATAGATATATATATATATATATATATATATATTATATATATATATATATATAATATGCAATAAAAGAATTAAATGCAATTTCCCAAATATTTTTTAAGTGTGTGTTTACTTTGGGGAAATGATTTGAGGCAGAGTGAGTGGATGAATTTAAGAGAATTTTATTATAAATTTTGTATTATTTATCTGAGTGGATTTGAAAGTAAGTAAAAGTAAATTTGAAAGTAAAATTTGTAAGAATTGATGTTGAATAAAATTTAATTTTGTTCTAGTTTTAGAAGTATTGGGTGCGTGATTCAAATTTAGTATAAGAAACTATTTTATGTTGTTAATATATATTTTTCCCTCTGAATAATACCAAACGAGAAAAAAAAATAGTTATTATTAAAAATCTCTTGTTTTGTTGTTACAGGTTGATTATGTTCATTAATGACACGAGACAGATTATTATTTACACGAATGATAAAAAATAATATTAATAATCTTACTATTATTAATAATCTTTCTATTTTGTATTTTATTATATTGATAATTACAAT